GGGAGGCCGCCGCTGCCCGGCGCCCCTCAGAGCCCGCCGGCTGTTTTCGTCGTGCGCTGCTCCGGGACAGTGAGCCTGTGCTCCGGTCTCCCTGCCTGCACGAAACCTAGCCGGCGTTTCCCGCGGCCCTGGTGCTCCGCACATCCCTGCTCTGGTCCCGCCTTTGCACCTATAAAAATAGGCCAGGACCTGCAGGTGCGGTTGCCAGGCGAGCGTGGACCCTGTGCCCGAACAGCACGCACACGGACTCCAGCAATCGTCTTTTTTTTTGTTTGCAAACCTTGTAATTAACGTCTGGCGGTACATTTGTGCTCTTTCCATGCTTTTCTGCCAAAACCACAGGAGCTCTTCGAGATTTACTCTGCTTTTTACTCTGTCGTTAGTTCTCAATTAAGTTCAAGCAGTAGCTGTGCCTTTCTTTTAATTTCAGAGGATATTACAATTAGAATTTTTCTGTGCTGTCCGGGGTGCGATTGTGTGACTTCTTCACTAGCATTTGATCCGAGATTATAGACCATGCTACATTAGCCAGGCTCCGATAAATGGAACATATAAAATTAAGTAACTGTTTAGTCTTAGTGTCAGGAGCAAAACATAAATACCTGAAAAAAGTCTGCTCGTAGATCTTTTCTAGGTAGAGCCCTAGCAGGCTTTGGTAGACATCCTAATTTATCCTCGCTTTGCCAGTTCAGTAATGCTGGTAAAAAGATGAGAGCAGGTGGGAAGACCTGTTTTGGCAGCATTCCCTGCATATACTGCCTTAAAGAGATTGTGAAACTGGAACCATAAATACTACAGTATGACTGGTAGACATTTCAGAAGGAAAAATAGCCATGTATCATTTTCTTTTCAAATACCTTTGGAAATGATCCACAAAACCCAGTGTGAAGTCTGTATCCTAGTGCCCGAGTTAATAAGCAATTCATACCGCATTGGTAGAAACCTGTAATCAGGATCCCAAATAGTACGGTTAGGACTCATCCTGGTAAGTACCTATGGCTGACCTAATCTGGAGGACTGCATTATCTCTTATATTTCAAGCTTTCCCACCTGCTTCTGATGGTCTGGATGTGATTTGCGTGGTGTTTTTTGTGTTGGTATTCAATTTAGGTGATTTTACAACCTGACCACATTTCACAGCCTTGCTACCTTGTTTCTGGCTCAGCTTTGGTCTCTTCTAATTGAGTTGCCTTAAAAGTGCAGAGGCAAACAGAATCTTTT